ACACATATATGTATGCACTCTAAAGATCTATATCTATATTGATGTCCATGTCTATATCCATCTTGAGAGACTGACTCTAAAAAATTGGCTCTTATGATTATGGAAGCAGACAAAGTCTAAGATGTGCCACCAACAATAGCATAACACTGGCTGAGCTTGAAGGCCTACGTACCAAGGAAGCTGATGGTATACATCTTAGTCCCAAAACTTACAAGTTTGAGACCCAATAAAAGCTAATGTTTCAATTAAAATCCAAAAAGAGGAAAAGTCCAGTGTCCAAGCTCAACACACCCAGGGGGTGGAATCATCTCCTTACTCATGGAAGAGTCAGATTTTTTGTTCCATTTATGCCTTCATCTGATTGCATAAGGGCCATATACACCATTGAGGGGAGCTGCTTTACTCATTCTACTAAAGCAAATGTTAATCTCAGCCAAAAACACTATCACAAAGATACCTTGTATTTGACCAGATATGTGCAAACCATAGGCCTAGCCAAGTTAGTTATTACAGTGACTACACTGAGCAATCATTTTGAACATAGTAGGTATCACAATCACAGCCTGTACATTAATATACAATAAAAACAAGAAAACCAGTGTGAAAAATTCTCTTTTACACAATTGAAATGATAAGAACAATACTGAAATTCTAAGAAGGATTTAATTTTATTATAATGTGTGGAATGTAGTTCTTTGATTTGGATGGTACACTTTTCTTGCTGTTTGAATGAGTAATCAGCTTAGGTCTCCTGGGCATGGGGAATGAATGGGGATGTACGCGGGGAAAAGCAGTGTGGGGGAAATGTTTAAATTCTTAAACAGATTTTTAAACACTTCAGAAACTTGTCAGGGTATCTTGGCATCCTTATTTAACTAATGTAAATGTTGATTTAATTTCTTATACTTAATTTTTATGATCACTTACTATTATGTATTTCCTTGCAACTTAAAAGTGTATGTGCAAATTGTATGCAGCGTTAGGGCTGAGACAGTGATTTCAAGTGCTCACAGACGTGTCATGAGAAATCAAACAAGTGATAACTGTGAACTTGCTTATTTTATGAACTGGAATAAAAATGCTTGTTATCAAACATTAAATAGGGAACATTTTGAACTCCTTAGATGAAATACTTAATATGAATTTACTCAGCCTTGTAAATAAATTTAAAAAGTTAATTGACCTGCACAAATTTGTTACTAACCTTCCCTCTCCCACAGTGCTTAACTTCTAGTAAAATAAAGAAAATGAGCATTTCTCTCTACTTTCCTCTCAGATATTAGTTCTTATGGGGTTGAGTAGATCAGTGTATATTACTTGGTATGAATCTATTATAATATGCTGAAGTCCTATGTGCAAACGCGATTGACAGTAGGATCAAATATACACTTAGAATCACCTCAGTGATGTGAATCTTACCTAGATTTTAAATTGATGGATAATGTTGATTTAGAGAATGTGGATCTGTGTCAAAATTGTATGGGAAATCTCTACATGAAATGCCTCTAGGGAACAGATGCAGTATTAAAATTGGAGTCCTTTTTATCAGGCTCTCTTACCCTGAATCTAGTTAGGAGCAGAAACACAAAGGACACAAAATGAGTACAGGTTTAGAGGTAATGCGCTTCCTGTCCTATTCACTGGCTGAATTAGGAGAACAAAGAGAGAGAGAGAGGGGAGAGGGGAGAGGGGAGAGAAGAGAGAAGGGAGAGGGGAGAGGGGAGAGAGAAGAGAGAGGCTGTTTCCGATAAGCTCTGCAGACTTTCAGGGAAATTCTCAGCTCGGTGATGAAATTCTGAGCCAGTCTACTCTGCGGACTCTTCAGAGAACTCTGTTTTATCCCTCACGCTCCCAAGTTTGGGCAGGCTTTGTTGAAAACGCTACCCTGCATTCAATCATGACTGACATGAGGCTTAAGAGGGAAGCACTCTCAGCTCTAGGACCCAGCTCTCGCTTTGCCCAACACCCTTGCACTCCCTTCTACTTCTTAACCATAATAGTCCATCTTTAGAACCAGACATGTGGTTCAATACTGTCTAACTTTCAAACTACAATTTTAAAGCATTTCTACATGATGATGTCTGTCCCCATCTTCACTGGCTTGCAAAAGGAGTTTATCTAGGACAAAGATGACAACACAAAGATTTAAGAAAAAGACAATTATAACAATAAGTGGATGAAGTGGAGGAAACCGGAGTGAGGAAGAGGATCCAGTACTGAGGAAATACAACCCTGAAAGCTGGACATGGCCCTTTTAATTTGCCTGAACAATATAAAACATGCAAATGAGACTGTAGCTGGAAAGATGCACAGCAGTGGGATGATGCAGTGAAAATATGAAAGCTATGTACAGGGAATAGCCACAGCAAGAGGAGAGAGATGAGAGAGCAAGAATAAGTACTGGTTTCAAAAGAAATGTCCTGGACCAATACAGGGCCCCAAGGAGATAAGTCAGAACTCCATGGCAGAGCCAAAAAAAATTTAAAAAAATAAAAATAAAGACTGATTACAGAAGGTTATTTGTGTCATGGTAGCAAACTGCATATATGAGACATCACTACCTTCAGTCAGAGAGGGCACCTAGTCTTTAAAAATGATGGCTGAATGAAAATAGCATCAGATATTCTACTTAAATATCATGTTTCTTTTAAAAATGAGTTGTTTAACAAGCATATGTAATGGAATTATCCATTTTTGAAACATATCATTCTTCAATTAAGGGAAAGATTAGATCTGAGAAGAGTACAAGACATTTGAGATTGAGTTTGAGAATTACATATGTAAAATGAAGTTAAAGACAAACATTTATATTGATGTCAGGGAGGGTGCATATACCACTTGAAAAGACATAGATGTTGCTACAATCAAAAGACTACAGACCCTGTTAATAATGCTTTATTTTATTTTACTGTTTAGATATTTAGCAAAAGTAAATGCCAGATTCTTTCAAATTCTTACCAATGACACACAATAGTCCAACAATCTAGATTTCAGATTTCACAAATTCAAAAGCTCTTCCCTCCCACATAGTGAATTTGTGCGCAACAAGCTGGGTGTGAGGCACTGGTCAATGCTTTGCCTTTCCAGGACATTCAAATTCAATGGGAAAAATAAATCTACTCTTGCTAAAAGAAACTCCTTCAGAGGTTCCAGTTTTCAGTACCTAGATCTTTCCAAAATACTTGGAATTTTTGCGTAATATAAAATAATTTATTTGCTTTTCGTGATCTAGTACTTAAGGACATGTTGTCCTTAAGAATATAATAGATACTTCTTGAGCTATTGCAGCTGAATAAAAAAAATAAAAAATAAAAAATAAACCAAACAAAAAACCCAAAAACCTCTAGAAGTCTAAAAACATCAGGAACATATTAAGGAGTAACCATGTACTACCTCCCACTTCAGAAAGGTAGGTTTTGATGAGAAGAAAATTAGTTGAAGTCATCCTGAAAAGCCATTAGGTTGCTCCCAATTAGATGATATGGTATGACCCTTTTCTATTTCTAAAGTGCTTAGTCACCCAAAATATTTTTAAATATCATTAAAAACCTGTCTCATCCATACACTCATGCTACCTTTCCATTTCAGTAGATAAAATTTTTATTGTAAAATTTTTTCTATCAGGTTCTCAAAACTGAGTAGGTATTGAGATATTATTATATGTTTTAAGCATCTAGCACTATAGTGGAAAAAGGTTGGAAAAACTCATTTTAACATTAAACTTCAGATTTTCAAGTCATTTGATAGTGATACAGGAAAATAAAAACTCCCAACCTGAATGATATCTGGGACTAGTTCATGTTCTCTAAAATCGAAGAATGAATCTTAGGAATGATGGAGGTTAAGAGCATATATTTATTGAGGGAAAGAAAGCTTCTGTCCAAGAGAGGGACAGAAGGGGGGACCGAGTGGGTTGCCCCCAATCCTGTCTTTTTTAGGAACTTTTATAGAGCAAAACCACTAGGTGAAGTGGGTTCAAAGAAAGGGAAAATGGCGGCCAATGAGAATTGTTTAGGTAGAATTGATGAAATTGGGATCAAATGGGGAAGCAAGTCACATGGCAAGGAGCCATGAATACAGAGCAGGGGCTTTTCCTGTAAGGGGTTGGGCCAGGGACTCTTATCGATCCCTGATGTCCATCCCTTGGGGGTAAGAGTGTGTGTTTTTCTAGTCCTTTGTCTTGAGGTCTGGCCCACAGATATCTTATCTTGTCTTTGATGTTGGCTCCTTCAAGGGCCTGGCCCTGTCTGTCTATAATATTTCTATCTAACTCAGCTGTCTGTAACAATAGGTTATATTTGGAAGTATTTTGAAAATATAATATGCCTAAGAGGCACAAGATTGAGGAGCCAGAGTTCTGATTCAATGGTAAACATGTATTCAGGATACACACTATATCCCTGATATCAAATGTGATATCTTTATAGTTATTTGTCTTATTTTTCTCACTACAACTACCCAGGAGTGGGTATTTTTTCATGTTTCTTTGAGATTATTGCATCTCATACAGATCCTAGATATATGAAGAACATATTTAAAAAGGCATCTGTAGTCAAAACTAACTATATAAACACTCAGTTTGCTTAATGCTTATTTTTAATGTTCACAACTCTTACTTTATTTCCCAGAGGTTTCACTTAGCTGTGTGGCTGGTTTGTAGAGACTCAAATTCAGAATTTTCAAGCTGGAGTTATTGCTGTCAAAACAAATCTATGGTAACAATACTTTTGAAGCAACAACAGCAAGCAAAGGTTGATTCCTGCCTGTACTAGTCATGCTTCCTTGAGCATCAGGATAATAGGAAAGTGTTTGAACAGATTACTGTTCCTACCCTCAATGTTCGCATCAAAGAGGACAGGTACAATCCAGGCCTTTGCTTGTTGAACTTGCTTCTTGGTAAAGATGGTGCTACTGATCCATGAACACATTTTGAGTAGCACCCACTTAGAGATGACTTGAGGAATGGAATGTATATTAACAGTCTAAATTATGTCTTTCAGAAAAATAAGTTCAACTGTACCAGAAGAACTCGTTGCCCAGAAACCAATGTCAGTTCTGTACAGATACAAGGTGACGCTGACTATTTCATCAACCATCTTGGAGTTCCTACCGTGCAATTTACTTATGAGGACATCAGTGCACTAGAGGTGATTGTTTCTGCAAATGCACCACACACACACACACACACACACACACACACACACACACACACACACACACACACAATATAGCAAATGTGCAGAATTTGATTTTATCATGGGCATTCATCTTTCATACCAAACAGGTCACTATAGAAAGTGGCTTCAATTAGAGAGTTATTCTTGTTTTTCAGAGGCTTTGTAATGGTATTTGAAAACATCAGCTATTTTCAATAGTGTTGAATTCAATTTAAAAAGATTTATATTGTCACTGACATTTTCACACTGTGCTTTGCCACAAGAAATTTGCAGTAGTTGGATTAACATCAGAACATAATTGTAATCTTCAATATTCTCAGAAATAGATGACATATGCAGTAAATTCCCCTTTCTTTGACCGAGGGAAAACACACCTAATGTGCTCTGTGTCAGTGGAAGTCTTGTGGCTAGATACCCAAAGTTTGCCTGTGGTTCACCTGCCTAATAAGATGCTACTTTCTTAATGAAGGAAACCTTTCTCTCAAAGACTATCACGAAGGTATGATTCACCTAAATTAGTCTGTGTTCATCGTTTTGGTGGGCCTAGGTCCTATTAATCTCTCTCAGAATTATGTTGCAGTTAGTTTCTCTGTAAATCTAAATATTTTGGAATATTTTACCTTTAATCTTAAGAAATTGTTCATATATTATTAAGAGGCATTTGAAACATTATGGAATAGGCTGCTAGAGGCAATTACTAAATGAATGAAATAATGGCAGGAAAATAGAGTAAAGCCTGATTTGCTCTCAAATGCAGATGTTTCTGAAAAGAAATATTTAATTATATTTGCACAGGTTCAAATTTAGAAATGCAATATCTTAATTTCTAATAGCTTTTAGCAATATTTAATTTTATGTTTTTCTGCTGCCCCCAAACTCCACTTAGGTTTCCCTGTAAATAGGTAAGTATGACTAACACCCATTTATATCCTGAGAGGGGAAATTCTTGGCGAGTTCTTCTGTGATGAGGTGTAGTATTGGGGAATGCAGATATAATTATTTTTTGTGTGTTTTTCAGTTAGGATTTTCATATGCTATTGTTAGAATAGGGTACATGAGTAAAAGTGTCTTTACCTTTATGCAAACACAATATGTGCTCTTTAAGAAATTGATATATTAAGAAATAATTCATTTTTAAATTTCCTGCTCAATATCTTTTATATCTTTAATCATTCTCCCATTCCAGTCCATCCAGCTGCTGTCATGGTAGCAAGCTGAATAATAGCTCTTTTTGCTTAAACATGTCTAATCCATTTTGGGTGAGTTTTAAGGCAAGAATTGAGAAGCACTCTGGAATGGCTCTGAAAATGGAACTAAAGTTCTGACTCTCACACTTAGCAGACAAATTACTTACCCTCTCTCAGAACTGCGTTACAAATGAGGCACTTTGGTGTACTTGTGACATCGCTTTCTGAAGGTGTGGTGAGGCCTTAATGGCAACCATCTGTGTAAATGTTTAGTTAACAATGAGCTCATACAAAGACCCCCCACCAACCAGGGCTGTCATCATGATGATTATTTCTGATTTCGGGTTCAACAGATTTGTGAGAAATTCGTAAACGATTTAGAAAAGAAGACATCAGTCAACAGGAAGGGCTTAATTGTTAAGTATAGTCAACTTCTGAGGTTGAAAAGATGGAATTTAATGAAGTTCAGCTGGAAGATCTGATGTGGTGCTAGAAAGATTTAGAGTCAGGGCCCTTTGAAGTACTAAGAAAGTGTGAGTACCCAAGGAATCTCCTAAAGCTACAGTTTCTCTGTTAGAATTGGTTTAGTATGAAGGAGCTAAACAATTTTTCAAGTAATATTCAGAATGTATAACTCTTCATGAAAATCAGTTTATATTATGTTACCATTTCTGCAAAAGTAATTAAAATAGAGTCTCCTCTGTTTTATAATCAATGATCTTGCTAATATTGATGTAATGGGGAGGATTTTTTAATGGATTTGCCCCTAACAAAATATTGCTGTTTGCTGCTCTAAAGAGCAGATATTAACCTTTATTTTCTGTGTTAGTCTATGATAAATAATTCTATAAAATATTAAGTAGAATTGTAAATATTGAAAATCATTATCCATGATGAAAAAATATTTATACTATTTCCATTAATAAAGTAGGCAAAAAATTACAGCCTTCCAGGAATTTACTTGCATTTTATTTATTTATTTATTTTGGTACAGGAATCGAACTCAGGACCTTGCACTTGCCAGGCAGGTGTTGTGCCGCTGAGCTATATCCCTGGCCCTGCAATTTAAAATGTAATTTTTATGTATAATCTTTAAGAACATACTTCGGTGGACTGGGAGGGAACAAGTAATCCTGAGCTTTCAAATCTTTCTCTATCAATCATCAAGTTATATAGGTCTCTGAGTTTCTGTTTGTAATTAAAAGCGTTATCTATACATTACGATAAGCAAAACAAAACAAACATAGTATCTGCCACCCATTGAGCACTTGCTCAGTCAAGTATTCTAAACCTCTTTTTTTTTTTTTGTCTTTATTTTTTTGAAACAGGGTCTCCCTATGCAGTTCAGGCTGGCCTTGAGCTCGCTTTGTAGCCTAGGCTGGTCTCAAACTTGCAAAGATCCTCCTGCCTCAGCCTCCTGAATGCTGGGATTAAAGGCGTGTGCCACCATGCTCTGCTAGACTTCTCTTTCATTTAATATTTACAACATTTTTGCAAGTTAGCTATGATTATTCTAGTCCTTTGTTTTTTGTTTTTCTTTTTTTTTTTTTTATTTATTGAGGGAAAGAAAGCTTCTGTTGGAGAGAGCCACAGAAGAGGGGCGGAGTGGGTTGCCCTGGGAACCTATCTTTTCCAAGGATTTTTATAGAGCAAAACCACTAAGTGAGGTGGGTCCAAGGTGTGTGTGGGGGATGGGAACTCATAAGTTGGGCATGAGGTGGGACAAAACCATGGTCAGCCAACAAAAATTGTTCTGGTAAAATTGATGAAGTCGGGATCAGACAGGGAAAAGCAAGGAATGCAGCAAGCAGGCATAAACACAGAACAGGGGCTTTTCCCATAGGGGGTTGGGTCAGAGACTCCCCAGGGCAGTCGCCATCCATCAAAACACCAGTCCCCGTATCCATCCCTAAGGAGGCACGCGGGTGCATCTGTTCAATCCCCTGTCCTGAGGTTCTGCTTGAAACAGAAGTATCTATCTCTCCGTTTGCAGGGTATCTTGTCTTCCATGTTGACTCCTTCGAGGGCCTGGCCCTGTCTGACTGCCTATAATATTTCTATCTAACTCAGCTGCCTACAACATTGCCCCCTCTAAAGAAGCAATCCAAATTGCCCTGAGGGAATAATGAGTGATGACCACTCTGGCCTCTTCCGGCTGAAGAAGGTCATTGTTGTTGATCAGCAGTCAGAGATTCTCTCCAGAGGGTCTGTTTAACAGCTCTCAATAGACATCGGGCGCCTCTGTCTTAGGTAGGTGTATAGCTTTCAGTCTCCATCCAATGATCCTGGTGGAAGATTTCCAAATGATACAGGGGGAAGAAGCACCCAACCTGAAAGATATCTGGGACAAGCTCATGCTCTCCAAAATCAAAGAATGCATTTCAGGGACAACGGAGGCCAAGAGTAGAATATATCCATTGAGAGAAAGAAGGCATCTGTCTGGGTGAGGGATGCAAGGGGGGCCCCAGGGAGTTGCCCTTGTTTTTATTTTTTGAGACAGGGTCTCACTATGTAGTTCAGACTGGTCTTGAACTGAAAGCAATCCTTCTGCCTCAGCCTTCCAAGGTCTAGGCGTCACAGGCATTAGCCACCCTACCCAGTTTATCCATTCCTTTCTTGCTGAGGATGAAATGAAATTCAGCTCAATGAGCTTATCTAAGACAACAAAATATACTAAATGGCCAAGATAGATGATAGCCCAATATTTCTTTGACATTGAATCATGATTTCAATGGCAAATTAGAAGCCCGTAGCAAGATTCACCCCTCGATATATTTTGCTTACCTTGTGCTATTTATTGAAAAGTTGGATTTGTGGGAACAGTGGCCTCAGCTGAATGAGCACTGCTCCGCAGCTTGCCAGCCCTTCCGTAGAGAATCCCCATGTTGTTTGTCCAGGAGTGCAGGTAAGAGAAATGTTTTCTTCAACGACTTTCTACGAAAAGTTGGGAACTAAAGAATAACCTAGAGGGCCACATGATGTATAAGGCTGTGTGACTTGTGTTACCTGCCTGGTCCCTATGGGGGCTGAATTCAGTTTTGCATTCATTTTGAGTAAATGAGTTAAGGTGAATAATTTGTTGTTTCCGATTTAGAAACTGTGTATTTTAAGTGAGCAGCTAATTTTAGATTGTATTCATTTTTTGAAGATTATTTAGAATTTTCTTGCACAGTTATATTGTAAACTTTAGGATTTCTGTTATACACTTTTTATCCAGAAAGACCAATTATGGAAACGTTACAGTACCCCCTGTCAATATCTGCAGGCAATAGGATTCAAGAGCCCAGGATACCTGAAGTGGTGGCAAGTACTGGACTCTGCAATACTGGTTTCTCCTACACATATGTACATACATACACGTAAACACACAATTAAGTTTATTTTTTTTTTTTATTTTATTTTTTTTTTGGTTTTTCTCCGGTACCGGGAACCGAACTCACGACCTTGCGCTTGCCAGGCAGGCGCTTTTGCCGCTGAGCTAAATCCCCAGCCCACAATTAAGTTTAGTTTATAAATTCGGCATGGTGAGATATTAACAATGAGCAATAATAAAATGGACTGATTATAACAATATTCTGTACTAAAATTGACAGTTTTATAACTTTTGTACCTTGGGGCCATTATTAATAAGAATAAGTGTTATTTGAACACGTGCACTATGATAGAATAAAAGTCAATCTGATAACTGAGAAGGCTTCTAAGTGACTAACTGAGAGGGAGCATAGATAGCGTGGAAACATGGCATACAGGGATAATTCACGTTCTGGGCAGAGCAGAGGAGGA